GTTTATGTTTAAATACATTTAATCGCCTCCATAAATTACCTAAACTAATCAATACCACCTCACTCTGGACACTTATTTTAATTAATAGTTCCCTCAACTGTAGAAAATGTACAGTTTCAACAAGTATACATAGTACATGTTAATATGATATCAATAGCTCCAAACTGAAAACACATTTCCATATACATATAAAGGTATCGTGAGAAGTAAAAATGTTACTGCCTGAAATCACTCCACGCACACACTGTAATTCACTTTATCTATCTGTAAGTGTTAGCGATCATTTTAGAATATCATTTTGACACTTTCATTAAAAGGTAGCTCAGTTGGTTAACTTCCTGACTACAGAGCCTCTTCAAAACCACAAGGTCACAGGTACAAATCCCAGATTGGGATTTATTATTATTCAGTTAATTACCCATAGCTTTGAGTCTTACTGGGAGAAAGGCATTATATGAATACTAGTTGTTATTATACATTTGTGCACTGCAGAAAAGTCAGGATAATCACTGAATATTGCTTTTTGTGAATGTTTGCACGCGTTAGCCTAACTTTTATCTTGGGTTTGAAAATCATAAGAAAAACAAGTGATATCTCTCTTAATAGCAAGAACAGCCTCAGATCAAAATCTTCGTCGTTCTTGTGAACCATGACATTATCATCTGCTGTGTACAATTCGAGAGATCCAGTTCAAAGTGATCCAGTGTTCTTGTGAATCTGTATTGAGAGATTTCTGGGAAAAGTGCATTGTGTCAATATTTTTGTAGAAAATTCATTTTTTCTTTTACAGTTGATCCAAACTAAAAGAAGAGTAAAGATTTTAACACAGTACTTATTTAATTTTATAACATGACAGGAGGCTTCATATTTGCTTAAGTGTCTCTTTACTAGAACTCCACAGCAGCATATTAACACAGAGAAAATCACCAAAAACAAGAGTCAGGATAACAACCACGTGGGAGCAACGGCTCCCGACCTCATTTTGGCTTCCCCACACCACAGGGCCCCTCCGTCCAGGCGCCGTGAGCCTTCAGAGGTATTAGAATGGCTCTTTGTCACTGCAATACCTCAGTGCTGCAGGTTCAATTCCTAGCAGGGTCAAGTCAGACTTTCATACATCTGAAGTCAATAAACTCGATACTGTCAAAGTTTAGCAGTGATAACTTTGCAATCCTGGGACATACCTTAAAAGCTAGACATACCTTCTGGCATTATCTTATACGTTTGAGGAAGGTGAAGGATCACTGGTGATCCTCAATTAAGTTACACTAGCACTACTGTTTTGCTACGTTGTGATTTTCCTTGTCTACCCCCTGTTCCCTGGTGACTTTCCGTAGCTGGATGCTATGGGTTGCCTATTTCTTATACACAGATGCTGCAAAGGGTTGCTTACTAGTTATCTGAGAAACGTTATCTTCAGTTACACAGTAGAATGTTATGTTACACAGTAGAATGTTATGTTACACAGGAATGTTACACAGGAAAATGCTATGAACAGTTACACAGAAGAAGGCTATGTACAGTTGCACAGTAGAATGCTATGTACAGTTGCACGGTAGAATGCTATGTACAGTTACACAGACGAATGCTAGGTACAGTTACACAGAAGAACGCTATGTACACTTACACCGAAGAATGCCAGGTACAGTTACACAGTAGAATGCTATGTACAGTTACAGAGAAGAACGCTATGTACAGTTACACAGGAGACTGTTATATACAGTTACGCAGTAGAAGGATATTTACAGTTACACAGAAGATTGCTATGTACAGTTACACAGAAGATTACTATGTACAGTTACACAGAAGAATGTTAGGTATAGTTACACAGATGTGTTCTATGTACAATTACACAAATAAATGTTATACACAGTTATACAGAAGAATGCTATGTACGGTTACACAGAAGAATGCCATGTACATGTACACGGAAGAAGGTTATGTACAGTTATGCAGAAAGCTAAAACAGTTACACAGAGGAATGCTATGTACAGTCGCAAAGAAGAATGCTATGTACAGTCACACAGTAGAGCGTTAGGTACAGGTACACTGAAGAGCGTTATGTACAGTTACACAGTAGAGCGTTATGTACAGTTACACAGAAGAATTCATCTTCTACGAAGAGGGAAATATACAATTATTTAGAAGAATGGAAGGTGCAGTTTATTGCCTGTACACCCCTGTTGGGCTTGACTTGTCTGTGCCCCAGGATTGGGCCGGCTTGGTGCGAGCCGTATTGATTGGCCTGCTTTGCATGTGCCCCATTGATTGGCCTGATTTGTCTGTGCCCCTTTGATCTGGCCTGCTTTGTCTGTGCCAGAATGTCTGCATACCAAGCCTTGCTGCTACATACTCACGCTTGGACATTGCATGCGCTGCCAAACTTGCCTCTGTCACTATATGGGGTGCTGCCCCGATGCTTTTGTCACCCCTAGAGGTCACCTTGCCTAGGACCGCTCCACCAACAACCCTTTATTCAGGGGAATGAGCACAGGCGATGTCTAATGCAGCAGCAACCACCTTCTAAAGAAGGCAGGAGACTTGAATGAGTCAGACTCTCCTAGAGGAGAGCAGGCAAGTGCGCATAAACACTACTGGAAGGGTGAAGGCCCTGAACCAGGCGCCCGGAAAGACTAGACTCCGGAGAAGCATCTAGCCCCATTACGATCGGCCTTGACGGCCAGACTACACTGCCTAGGTGGCGCAGGGGTGAAAGTCCCCGTAACCCACCCCCCTTACTATGGCCGCCCTAGCTGAATGGCAGGCGGACTGGTCCATGATGGGGGTGTGGACTATGATGATGTCCTCAAGTGGCACTGTGAGACGGAGAAGAAAGCCCACTACAGGGGCTTCGACAACCATGGAAGAAGAGGTCAGCTCGTGGGTCACCTTAAACGAACCCCTGTTCGACCCTTGACCCATTGCTCACCTGGTTTCTTTGGAAGGGTCTCTGCCCGAGCACCTAGCACCATAGGTGCGTTTCTGGGTCCATAGACCGCTGGCTTGAGAAGCCCACAGGATACTTGGAGCAGTATACCCAGCAGGGCTCCCAAACAAAGTAGCCTCGTACCCAGACTTAGTGTATTCATCCGCTTATAAAAATGTGGTTAATGACATTTACTGTCCACACAGGAAAAGTTGTGCTGAGCAGCAACCTAATCCACAGAAGGGTTAATGCTGAGCAGCAATTATGCAGATGGGAACCTGGTAACTGACTTTGGGGTCAAAGGCCGGTTACAGCCTATCAGATCTAGAGGAGG